AGATTTTGTAGCCTGTGCACTTAAAACAAAGATTTGGAACGGCATGTCCTCAGTTGAGGTCAATCCAAATTTACTAATAAGGTGAGTGTAAAGGGTAGATTCTACGCCTTACGTATTCTTTTAAGTATTAAGATTTTGAGTATTTTAGCGAATTGGTTCCCGTTGCTTGCTTATATTTATGATTGCTTATTTGTGCTTTGCTTGAGCTATGATTTGAGGTGATTTTGTGCTATTTACCTTAAAGCGTTATGTTTGAGCTATGGTTAAAGTTTAAGAAACAAGTTCTTTTTAAGAAGTAACTCACCTTCAAGAAGGTGAAGTCGTTTTAAGTGTTTTTAGTCACTAGCGCCAGTCCGTTGCCTTTTGAGATATTTGAGACAGAGCAGCAGTTATGCTCTTGAGATATTTAAGTTGAGCAGCACTTATGCTCTTGAGAATCGTGGTGAAGAGCCACCACGATAAGTTTAAGATGTTAGGAGGATGAATCGTTACGACTCCCCTAACTAAGTTTAAGTTTAAGGAAAGCCTGGATGGCTTCTCATACGTATGAGTTGGCATCGGGACTAGCTAGTGAGGGATCCCCGTGTCAGTCAAGTATTTAAGTCAAGATTTGAGCTTGAAGAGAGGAGAGTAAATTCAACTCCCCCAAAGTTTAAGGGTTAAGATTTTAAGATTGGAAGTACAAACCACTTCCACTAGTCAAAGTTAAGTGTTTAAGTAAAGTACTCAAGTATTAGACTTATTAAAACGTAAGGGCGTAGACTGACCCCATCTCACTCACCAGGCCTTAGAAAGGGAATGAGCTTGAACCAGATCGGTAACAGCTAGCTAGATGAGCAGTTAGAGAGCAGCGTGTTCGAGAGGAAAAGTTCGAGGGCAGCCAGCTAGAGAAGGATAGTGCAAGCGTCACGGAGGATGCCTAGTTAAGATTTTCAGTAGCAGCAACGACAGAGACTACCTAGTTAATTTCATTTTATGATTATGAGTATAGACTGGAGATCAGATTGAGATTTTAAAGTTTGAGTTTAATTTGCCCACATGTTAGGACTTTGCTTTGAACTACAAGTGTGTGTTTTCAGTATTTTATTTATGAAAATTTTCCCGTGGCAATTTTAAGATTTGAGTATTTTATTTATCAAGGGCATTTTAGTAAAAGTAGTACCTGACCGGGTTAGGGTGTTACATTTTGGTATCAGAGCCGGTCTTCCTCTGTTCCTTGGTCTCTAAGGAATACTGGAATATCGGTCTCAGCTTTGAAGGCTTTTGTTTTAAAGGAAAGGAAAACGAGTCAAGATCTTCTTTTAAGAGTTTATAGAATCTCCAGTCTACTCTAATCGTATTAAGATAAATAACTTTAGTCCTAATAAAAGGTGCATCAATCGCAATGGGATATTCCGAGGTATAAGTACAAGGATTTGAAGGAGTTGAATGAGCACTACGAGGATTTTTCTAATTAGCAACTAGCAAACAGATCATCATCATCAACCTAGAGAAGGAAGGAGGAACGTTGCAAAGGTCCGTGGAGGTAGAATCGAATGTGCGAGGACTTCAACTCCATACACCAGCAAAGAGGTGTCAATTGAAAGGGAATACCTCAAGGATTTTGAAGGAGTGGAGAGAGTAGTACGAGGATTTCACTACTAGGAAACAAGTGGATGATCTAATAAGCTAAGACAAACAAAGGGGAGAAATATAAATCTCCGAAGAAAGAGTTACAATCACTAGATGGCAGTGGCTATAATGAAAGGAGGATTTCAGGGCCCTTGACCCTAAGCAGTTGCGAGGTGGCAACGAGCCAAGAAACGAAAAGGTATCACGAGAAGTCCCCCAACTAGTTTTAGTTGTCGACAGCTCGGCTCTATTACAACACAGCGGCAAGGAGCAGTGGAAAGCTTAGACTTCAAGAGAAGCTAGGGTAGTATAAATGAAGTAAATGAGGAAATAAGTAGGTTATAAGGAGTATGAAAGGACGTCAAGAAGTCAATAAGTCAAGGCGAAGATGAGACATGGTCATTTACATATGACGACTAAGGAACCCTTATACATAAACTACGTCACTACAGAAGAGGGTACATGACCCCGGGGAGTTAGGCCGATGACAAGCCTTTAAAAGAAACAAGACAAGCAACGAGATAAATGATGTAGAGGACAAGTTATGGTTTTAGTACGACCACCATTGGATGAGATGTGGAGGGAAGTTCCACCAAAGTCTAAAGCATGCCATGTAGAAGACAGCGGGGAGTCAATAAGTAAGAAAAGATATGGAATGTGAGAGGGAATAACAGTTAGCTAGTAAATGGCAGTACGAATAGTGAACCAATTTTCAGCAATGCTTGAGTTGAATACTAAGTCAACACGGAGCTAGAAAGAGGATATTAGCGACCCTACAAACTACCCAAATCATGAAAGGTCAGGAGGTCGTTGGGACCGTTGAAAGGGGAATGCAAGAGTTCACGATGATCTGTTATGGGATTGTCCTCTCCTAAATCGAGGGAGCACCTAGCCTCCTAGGGTACATGAGGGGTGACAGAAGGAGGAAACTCTCTACTAAGTTCGAACTAGAGGGATAAGAGCTGAAGTCTCGGAACTAGCTATAGAGTAAGTCATTAAGCCAACCGAGTATAGACAAGTAAGTGGAACATTCAATAAATGTTCTAGTGAATGGCAGAGAATTCGAGGAAGCACATGGAAGTTTCGATGAAGGATTGAGAATATGTGTAGGTGACTCAGGTTCAAGAAAATGCATAATGGAGTACGATGAGGAAAAGCATTATAGAGAAGGGGAAAAGAGAAGTTACCTTATCCAAGGTGCCCCACTCCGAGTGGGGGCGGGATAGTAGGAGGGCTCCAGCAGGGACAGCTAGTAAGGATGAAACATGCACGCTTAGTTAAGCCACTAAGAATCCTAACTAAGAGACTAAGTTTATGTACAAGATCGATCAACAAAAGAGACATGGAATGAGTTATGTTAAAGGTTACCAAGGGCAAGCCACCATTGGAAGTTGTGACCTAAAACAACAACGAGAAGATACTCAACAGAGGTTGGTGACCAAATATAGTACAAGCAACAATAGAAGAGTTGTAGTTTGGTGGTAGTAAAAGTAGAGAAGCAAGAAAAACACCATGGGAAGTTATAGAAAGAAAATGGTTGGCATCAACCTGGCGATGTATGCGTCAAGGAAGATAGTTAAGACGGGCGGAAGCAGGAGTACAACAGACAACAAGAAAGCATTAGGTTGATCACCAAGTAGAGAACAACCGATCCATAGGAAGTCCATCGAGATATTTCAGTCAATTTTTAAGGTGGAATCATGATCGTCGGGAATAGTCGAAGGGAGAACCTTATCTATCATGGTACATGAGTGAGAAGAGAAAATAGGGACCTAGAGGACTACATCAAGAACAAGGGACATCTAGAACTAGAAAGGAACATCAAGAAGAAGAGTCATGAGTAAAGAAGTAAGAGGGATATGAGTTTAGGGAACCGGCTAGGATACCCCAAAGTGAAACCAAGATCGCCTATGTTGGTGAAAGGTGTCAAACTCTCGGGTAAAACTTTATTGGACGGGGAAACCGTACGAGGAGTTTCAGCTAGGGTCTAAGAGTGGCAGAACAGATATTACAAGAACATCAAATTCAATCAGCTATAAGGAAGTGCTAAGTTAGGCGCTAGGAGTGAGCAAGTAAGCCAGAGGGAGTATCATGATTCTTGAAATGGTTCATAAGGTTGATCGCAAGCTAGAGAAAGATGCAAAGGATGCCTCTAATGCATACAGAAAGTAAAATCTGTAATATGAGGTTTCATAGTTAAGCGAGAAGTAACGAGGAGATGACCACTCAGTTTATGGTTTAAAGGATAAGACGAAGCATCAAAGAAGAAAGTAAGAGATACAAAGTTAGGAGGTACAATGTCCTAGGTCACCTATGAGGTCAACCCCAGACGAGAGTTACGTTAATAGAGTGTTACCACCTTACTAGATGGAGGATAAACCGCCATCAGTGACCTTGGGATTGGAGAGGGGCATTAACTTCTCATGTACAGAACAATGGATAGTTATCGTTCCTATATATGTACAAGGTGCAGCCGAGGTAATGTGTGGGGTTAAGAAGCCACAACAACATTGAAGTTGCAGGGAATGGAGAGAAGGATTTTAGGTCATGTCGTATAAGTTAAAGGAAATAACAATCCGCGAAGTGAAAAGGATTACCACAAGCGATGCTTAGGGTAATCACAGTGGACAAATTTTGATGGCAAAAATTCTATAAGTGGGGAGGAAATGTGATACCTCGACTTCAATATGTTCAACATCAAGTACTGAATCAGTTGGACCAAATAAATTGAGCCGAAATTTTGTCCCATCACACCCTGGGCCCAAGTTGGAAAATTTTGAAAAGGGCAATGAGTCACTCAAACCTATTCGATGCTACCAAGCTAGATGAGAATATATGTTTTGGTCAAGAGTACATATAAGAACTATTGTAAGATATTCAAAACAAGATAAGGGCACGCCATTGAAGTTCATATAGAAAGAGAGAAATCTTGAGCCAAAGAAGCACAAGAATGAGGAGTATGAAAGGATGGGTTCGATCAAATTTCGGGGACGAAATTTTTATAAGGGTGGAAGAAATGTTACACCCCGCTCTTCCCAAAAGTCAAAATGATTATTATACCCTTGGGTTAAGTTCCACTGTATTATCGATAAGGATTAAAAATATGAACTAATAGTTCAAACGGTGTCGAATTTCGACATGAAGTGAGAAAATTATGGACGTTAACTGAGTTTCGTATAAACTCACCCAAAATTGTCAAATTCCCAAAATTCCATGGGTCAATTAAACCTAAGCTAACCCAAATTACCCTAAGGCTGCACTTAATTTTCCGTCGCTTTCCCCTCCCCTTTGTCGGTCTCTCCTCTCAAAACCCTGAAAACCTAAACTCATAACCTCTGCCCTCCGACCACTTAATCGCCGAGACTGGTGGCGGCCTGCTCCATCCGAAAATGGCCGGGAAGCTCCGGTTCATGGATTTCCTAGACGAGGAGCAGAGAAGAACCATAACCATGAAGAGTTCCTCGATAGCTCTGAAATTCCGTTATTGTTCGATTTACCTAATCGATTCCCCGGGACGCATGGACTTCTGCAATGAGGTTTCCACCGCAACTAGGTTGAGCGATGGCGCGTTGGTTTTGGTGGATGCGGTGGAAGGTCTTCATATCCAGATTCATGCTGTTCTCCGCCAAGCTTGGATTGAGAAGCTAACTCCCTGCCCGGTGCTTAATAAGCTGGATAGGTTGATTAGTGAGCTAGAGTTGACTCGCATGGAAGCTTATACAAGGTTGTTGAGGATAGTTCATGAGGTTAATGGGATTATGAGTGGATACAAGTATGAGAAGTATTTGTCTGATGTTGATTCGAGGCTTGCTAGTCAGTTTGGTGAAGTGGGAGATGAGAATCTCGAGTTTGTGGAAGATGATGAGGAGGATACGTTCCAGCCTCAGAAGGGCAATGTGGCTTTCGTTTGTGCTTTAGATGGATGGAGATTTCGTAGCCTGTGCACTTAAAGCAAAGAGTTGGAACTACATGTACAGAGTTGAGGTCAATCCAAATTTACTAATAAAGTGAGTGTAAAGGGGTAGATTCTACGCCTTGCGTATTCTTTTAAGTATTAAGATTTTGAGTATTTTAGCGAATTGGTTCCCGTTGCTTGCTTATATTTATGATTTCTTATTTGTGCTTTGCTTGAGCTATGATTTGAGGTGATTTTGTGCTATTTAAGGTGATTTTATGCTATTTACCTTAAAGCGTTATGTTTGAGCTATGGTTAAAGTTTAAGAAACAAGTTCTTTTTAAGAAGTAACTCACCTTCAAGAAGGTGAAGTTGTTTTAAATGTTTTTAGTCACTAGCGCTAGTCCGTTGCCTTTTGAGATATTTGAGACAGAGCAGCAGTTATGCTCTTGAGATATTTAAGTTGAGCATCAGTTATGCTCTTGAGAATCGTGGTGAAGAGCCACCACAATAAGTTTAAGATGTTAGGGGGATGAATCGTTACGACTCCCCTAACTAAGTTTAAGTTTAAGGAAAGCATGGATGGCTTCTCATATGTATGAGTTGGCAACCAGACTTGCTAGTGAGGGATCCCCGTATCAGTCAAGTATTTAAGTCAAGATTTGAGCTTTAAGTGAGGAGAGTAACTTCAACTCCCTCAAAGTTTAAGTGTTAAGATTTTAAGATTGGAAGTACAAACAACTTCCACTAGTTAAAGTTAAGTGTTTAAGTAAAGTACTTAAGTATTAGAATTATTAAAGCGTAAGGGCGTAGACTGACCCCATCTCACTCACCAGGCCTTAGAAAGGGAATGAGCTAGAACCAGATCGGTAACAGCTAGCTAGAGGAGCAGTTAGAGAGCAGCGAGTTCGAGAGGAAAAGTTCGAGGGCAGCCAGCTAGAGAAGGGTAGTGCAAGCATCACGGAGGATGCCTAGTTAAGATTTTCAGTAGCAGCAACGAAAGAGACTACCTAGTTAATTTCATTTTATGATTATGAGTATAGACTGGAGATCAGATTGAGATTTTAAAGTTTGAGTTTAATTTGCCCACATGTTAGGGCTTTGCTTTGAACTACAAGTGTGTGTTTTCAGTATTTTATTTATGAAAATTTTCCCGTGGCAATTTCAGATTTGAGTATTTTATTTATCAAGGGCATTTTAGTAAAAGTAGTACCCGTCCGGGTTAGGGTGTTACAACCATCAGGAGATGCCCTTATCATGGCATTCCCCATTGGTGGCCAATGCAAACTTTTTGCAATGTGATTAATCCAGAGAGGAAACAATCAATTGATGCAACAGGGGGTGGCACCATCAACAACAAAACATATAAACAAGTAGAGCAGCTAATTGTGGACATGGCAATGAACAAATATGAATGGTATTCTCCCTGAAACATATGTAGAACAACGCCAACTAGGAGTGCTGAACTGCACCAAGTCATCCGAGTTATAGCCTTAGTCGCGCAAGTTGAAAACCTGAACAAAAATTTCGATCAATTCACTCTATCTGGCAAGGTGTACAAGTGCGAATAGTGTGCTTGTGACAAGAAAACTACCGAGTGAAAAAAATATTCCCTCAACATGCGAAACTGAACATGTTACCAAAAGGAGTCGGAATCCATATAGCGGCACATACAGTCCAGATAACGGCACATCAAGCGTCATCGAGCAATTTTCATCAACAACTGCTACCAAAAGAAAAGAAGTCCAACCTCGAGGATATGATTAGAAAGTTCGTTGCCCCCTTTGATTCCAAATTCCAAGCTCTGGACAAATATATTTCTATCTTCGAGGATCTATTTCAAAACCTTGAAGCAGGCCAACGTAATCTTCAAGATTATGTGCATAGTTTTGAACACAAGTTGGGCAAATAGCCAAGCATTCAAAAAGAAGCTTTCCAAATAACACCAAAATAAATCCAAATTTGGAGGAATCCTGGAAGCTTTCCAAATGACACCAAAACAAATCCAAATTTGGAGCAATCAAGGAAGCTCGTTCGTCCTCAACACCCAAATTCCAAATTTGGAGGAATCATGCAAGATCATGGAGTGCACAAGTGAAAAAGTCATGCAATCAACTACACCACCACCACTTGTCACACAAACTGACGAACAAGACCAAAAGAAAGAACCACCAAAACCAGTTGTTAAACAATATCAGCCAAAGTTGTCGTTCCCATCACGCCTACATCGCGACAAATTGGAAAACACTTTTGGAATAAGTTTTTGGATATGCTAAAGCAAATCCATGTCAGCATGGCATTCATGGATTTGTGTCAAAAGTTTTGATGTACACTGGTAGCCTGAAGGAGATCCTCTCGAAAAGAGGAAAATTGATGAGTGTGATTTGGTTATAATCATTGGAGATCGCGTTTCCATCATCTAAAACAGGCTAGCACAAAAAATGGACACTGGAAGCTTCATCATTCCAAGTCAATATGGCAACCTTTCTATCTCTAATGCTTTGGACGAATTAGGAACAAGTATTAATGTCATATCTTATAAGCTCTTCATAAAGTTAGGCTTAGAAAAACCTCAACCGACTTCCATGCTCTTACAACTAGCAGATAAATCTGTGGTTATTCCTAAAGGAATTGTCGAAGATATGTTGGTGAGGTAGGACCTTTCCTCTTACCTATTGATTTTGTGATTTTGGATATGGAAGAAGAAAGTAATTATCTTTATTCTTGGTCATCCATTTCTATTAACCTCTAGACCTTTGATAGATGTTCCTAAAAATAAAATAGTTTTGCGAATGAAAGATAAAGAATTCACCATTAACATGTCTTAACCAACACATGCACCGAAATAATACAATACGTCAAAAGTACCTTTCATAGTTCCGTGCTTACTTCATCCAATAAATATGCTAAGGGTTTTATGGTATTTTCTCATGAGCATTTTACCCAAAAATCCAAAGGCTATGTGCATGATACTCCCGATTTTGAAAATATCAATGTTATATCTCACCACATGTGCAAGAAGGTCACGGAGTCATCTATTATGCAGGTTGAGAAAAAATCGCCTCAAGTACCAACCAAACGAGTCACGTCGCCAAGGAAAAGATGAAGGAAGAATGGCAGCCAAAACTAAAGAAAAGGGAGCTCAGTCACAATTATTCTGGAGATCACTACGAGCTGGTCCTATATCCACTTGCGAGCCCCTAACATAATGAACTACAGTACAACTAGCACGACGTTAAAGAAGCGCTTATTGGGAGGCAACCCAAATTCTCGATTTGAATTTTTTTTTTCAATTTCTGTCTGTTTTTCAATTTCAAGAATAAAATTTGCAACCCTTTGTGACCAAACGTCAACCAAAAAACTCGCCGAGTGGAACTATCATCATCGAACATCATGCCCTACATTACGCGACAAAGAAAATGGTAACAATTCTAATCCTTACTCCCTAACATTTTGCCCATTGAGGACAATCTCCAACTAAAGTGTGGTGGGGAATGACCAATTGTTTTAATTTGTTCTGATAAAGAGTTTTTGTGATCAGTGTCTCAGTAATTTCACCATCATCCATACAAAAAAAATCGTAAAAATTAAAAAATTTGGAAAAAAGTTTTGGTTTTGAGTCTCATGAATGACTGAATTTAGTGCAAGAATACTATATTTCAATGCATGTCAACCTATAATGATGAATGAGGGATTACAATGAATGTGTCTCGTGTTACTCTTTCTTTGATGGCAAGAATTTTCTAAATCCAGAACAAGTCAGTTGTCATATTTGATTGTTCTTGCATAGCATTTGGGAAACATAGCTTGAGAAATCTAGCAAATAGAAAGTCATTTGAGACTTGAGCATGATCGTCTCTTTTTTGTGTGATAGATCCCTCTCTATGCATGATGATATGCTTGATTTACTCCTACACAAATGACTACGATATGGACGATGGAGGCAATAGGTTTACTCCTACACCCAAATGACTACGGTGAACATCATATCCTTAGTCAAACCAGATTGAGACAAGCCTTTTTGTCCGATGACAACCTATTTTAAACCAATCCCTGTTCTTCAACCTCAAAATACTTTGAACCCTTTTTCAAGGTTCCATTTTGAACGGTTTAAACAAATGAATTTCTGCTTAATATATCAAATACAAAAGTTGGAATAAGGAGAAACAATTTCTTCAAGTGCAATTTTCAAAAATCAAAATTTTGACCACTCTTTCACATTGTTATCTTAAAAGATAAAAAAAGTGATAGAGTTGGCCACTACCTTCCATGCACTTATGATAAATATGATTTATTCTTCAAAAGCCACATAGGCTACATTTTAAACTCCTATAATTTCTCAAAATATTCTACCTTGCCTATATATTCATCTTACAAAGAGAAGCAGAAAAGTCATGGTTTTTTGGGTGGAAAAGTTTTGGAATCTTGAACTTACCAACAGATTAAAAGAACTTCCACATGTCCGTACCCCTAGCCACGTTTGACACCCGATCAAAAGACCTACCAGACAAGTCAGTGGTGACACAATATTGGAGACTCGAACAACAAACTCATGACAGAGAGATGGTAGGGAAAGAGTGATAAATAGAATAGTTAGAAGAGGGAGAAACAACACACCACACCCTACTTCTTTACTTTGTTCTACCTTTCTTGTGTTTGAAGTTAGCTGAGATTTTGTCCACTTCCATTTCAAAATCTTGTTACTATTTTTCATTTTGTTAATCCTATCTCGTATTTCATTCGTCGTGGTTCTCATGTTCGTGGTCGTATTTGGAAAACTGTGGTATATTGCGTTATTAAGATTACCAAAGTAAACATCGTTCTGTGGGGTTTTGATAATCATTTGTGGTGGTAGATTAATTGGTTTCCACCGTCTTCGCCCATTGATTATTCCTCTGTCGGAAGTTTGCTAGGTGTAATCTATTAATTCAATATATATATCGTATTCTTGACCCCTTCGTTTTTCATTGTCATCATCATCATGGTAATGTTCTCAACCTTCATCTTTCCAAATTTCATCATGTCTGGGTAATCTTCTAGTTGTTCCGGATTTGA